ATTAAGTAAAACTGCAATATCTTCACTGTTGCAGAATCATTTCTCATCCTTTGAGAAAACAAAATCATTTCTTGTTTATTTTTTGGCTAATTTGTTAGCTGCTTTTGGGCCTTGCCATTAGCTAAACTCAACTTTCCAACCTGTTTCATTGATTAGCTGATGTAAATTTTTAGAAAATGGTATTGTAATGCCTTGTTCAGGCTATTAATTTGCCTACTTTTAAACAAAAATTGGACCAAGCAGATCGTTGCACTGCCTCAATTTGTGACATAAATAATTACAAATAAAGTGAAACTGAGCAAAGCCTCAATAGATATCAGTGCCAAGTATTTGTTGCCTCTGTCCTTGAAGTCTGTCATTGTCATTTGGCCCTTCACAGTGTATCACTGGCAAATCCAGACTGAACTTGTGAGGCCATCCATTTCTGGGCAAGCATTTTTTAATATTGTAAATAAAAAGATACAAAAAATGAAGCCCATTTCTTTCTGACTTCCTGGTATGTTCCTGGTTTCTGGATGTATCCAATGCTGCTCTGGTGGCTGATTCTTCTCCTTAATTCTTTGTTCCAAAAATGTGCATATTTGTGGTTCAGTTTGGGATGTGAGGAGTCTCATTCCAAATTGCAGGATAGTACTATGTGTATCTAGTATGTCCTTTCACCATGTTTTTCCCTTAACCTAGTTTTCTTTAGACTTCAGCTGGCTCCACTTACTAGATGGGCTCGTAAGGAATCCCTTTTAAATTGGATTGTTTATCTTTCATGCTAAAAGGCAAGAAAAGATTCTTTACTAGATGGAGTTATTAAAAGAGCATTAAAAAAGAACAAGCGTCAAATGGTTTTGGAAATGGTTTCAGTGCCAAAACTAAGTACATAGGTACTTGCTCTAGTTACTTCAGCTCACAAAATTCTAAACAATGGTCATACCGGCCAGCAATTTTGAGAATTAAAATCCACACCTCAGGATGGGGGTCAGGTTGGGGAAAGCTAGAATAGAGTTATATTAGAAATCTGTTTAATATTTTATTTATAATGCAAGGATTAGTTGAAGCAAGGTGGTGGGCCTCCAAAAAACACTCAGTGGAAGGTTAACATACAAGCACAAAATGAAGAATTTATCAGTGCCTAATGTGGAAGGAAATACTTCAATCGTCCCAGTATATTCTTACAATGTGAGAAAGGGAACTTCAAATGCTGCTATTATATACAGAACTCCAAGTGAGGATAGACTTAAGAGTTAAATCAGGAAAAACTATGCTTATGAGAATTGAACAATGATCTAGATAATAGACCAACTCTATGATCGTCAATACAGCTGGAGGTGGTCCCACACAGGCTGAAAAACCCAGTAACCTTACCCTTGCAACTCAAGAAGTGGGAGCACAGCAGCAGGGCAGAAATTCATTTAGGATATACAGCTACACATGTAGTCTTGTTTTCAGGGCCTAGAAGTCTCTGAAGTGCTCTGAATCTAATTTAGCTAGTATATTTTTTATCTCAACTTGGGCAACATAAAATTGCATTCAGTGGTGAAATGAACAATTACCTGCAATCTACTTTGCTGACACTACATTTTTTATATATATCCTATAAATTGGCTTGTGCCATGCCTTGTGTTATTCTCCCAGAATAAACTTTTTGAAATTGTAATAGCCCCAGCTTGTCACCTCACAGGCCTCCGGCCATCAAAGGGTAGAAAGGGAGGGAGTAGTGTAGGATAAATGGGCAATAAACTGTGTGTATCTGATGGGAATTGGGGGGGGGGGAATGACAGGTGATGAAGACCAGAGCAGCTCTGCACCAGTTTGCACTGGAATCCAAGACCAGGCACCCTGAGAAAGAATGCTTATTACCTCAAAACATCTCGGCAGTCTTGGCTGAAGACGGACTGGTTGGGAGGATGGGGGGAAGGGAAACATTTCTGTATCTTGAGTATACGAAATCCAGATCTAGTAGCCTGACCTAACTGCAGCCAACATCTTTTTCATGAAAAAAACCTTTCGCTTCAACCCATTGGAGTGGAGGATCTTTCCTAACGAATCAGTATGGGATGAGTCTGACAACATCTCCCATTGTTGTGTGGCCTCCACAGCCTACAAAAATTGTGAGAACTGCGTGTGCTTTCAAGGTTACTGAATGTTGGTGGACACTGGTGTATCAAAAAAAATGTGTCAAAAGATTTGCCATTTGGATATATCTGCAGCTTAATTCTGGTTTTATCTCTTACAATACTTGTTCTCCAAGCATGTCACTTAGGGGCTGTCAGTATTGGCGAACCTTTTCAGCACCATGCACGTGGGGGAGTGCCAGAAACCAGAAGAGCAGCTCCCCAGCACACACACACACACAGAAGCATTAAAAACCAGAAGAGCAGTTTCCCAATTTGCATGTGCACGCTAAGAAGCTGAGCTTCCAGTTTCCGGCATGCACACTGGTCACTTGGTCTTCATTTCTGGTGCATATACATGCACAAAGACCAGCTGACCAGCTCGCATGTGCGCACCAGAAACCGGAAGAGCAGCAGGTGATGGCTGGCGTGCCAAGACATGGTTTTGCATGTCGCTTTCAGCATACATACCATAGGTTCACTGTCACAGGGCTAGGTGCTCCTCTGGTATATAGGAATAGAATTATATAGATATCCTCGCTTTATCATCTTTGTAAATAACTCAAGGCGGAGAAAGGTTTACATTCACAAACTGTTCGGCATAAAACAGAAAATGAAATAATGGACATGAAACATAAGTCCGGCGCTTGTAACCTGTACAGAATATTTCACAAGACAAAAGCTCATACTGAAAAAGTTACAACTGGCTGCAAAATTCAACTGCCTTGAAAAAGCAGCCTCATGTAACGTGAAAGATGTTTACAAGATGAGTAAACATGCATTCCTGATGCTAAAGTTGTTGAGTAGTTAAATTAAAACCACACCAAATTAAGATCTAACAGCATGCCAAAATTACCCTAGTGCATTTGTTTTAACTAGTGGCTAGGAAAAGAAACTTAGGTGGTTATACAAAAAAAGAATGTTACATAAACATTTCAACATGGAAAATAAAGAAATGTTAGTGCTTTTTGAATATTTTTTAAGTATAATAAAAAAACACATTTTAAACCAGAAGCTAACAGACTAGAAAATAAGAAAAAAAATGATCAAAGAAAAGCAAAAGATGCAAAAAAAAAGGGGGTGGTGGAATAAAATGAAGAATAAAGTGGCATTCAATATTCTTCACAGCAGTTTTAAGTAAAATGTTATCCTCTCTAAAGTTATACTTTATTTCTACATTTTACCCTGTCCAAACACAAGTTTATTTTTTCATTTTTATACAAAATATCCTAAGAGTCTTTCAGTCAGCAATAAATGTAATCTTTTATCACCTTTTAGTTGAATAATCCCATAATTTGTTTGAATATTATCTGGAAATGCCAGATCTTTCTCCTCAATTGGTTTAGAGGTGAAAGTTGTAACTCATTGGTACAAAATCCCAGTGTTACTCAAATACTGAAGTGCCACTTTACATGAACAATATTGCATTTTAAATACATATTCAGTTTAATACTTTGCCTTTTTTTTCTTCATCCAGGCTTCTACAACCACATAGTGTAAAAATATGAAGTGAGAATTGTTTGGGATTAATGTAAATTAAAAGTACTCTAAAAACATGGAATATCTGATACATGTAAAAGGCAGAACACGTTTTGGCCTTTGTAGGTTAGTGATGCAAGCTGACTTTACTGAATGACAAGAAAGTGGAAAGAAGGGCATAACCCTTTAATAAATTATTTCCTTTCTGCTTTTGGATAAAGAGGTGAAGTTTCAAAACCACAGTGTAGCTTTTTCTAACCTTATATTCTGCACTTACTTCCCAATTATCCCTGCCTCTACTCCTCTTCCTATGTTTTCCCTGCATCAAATTTTCAGTTCTAAACCTAGAAGTTCTTTTGTATCCTCAGGGACTAAAAATATACATTGTATGAAAGAGTCATAGTTAGAAAATTTGTATTAGATTAACGATGATGTTAAGTTATGCAAATATAGTTACACATAAAATACTTTTCTTCATATAGTAAGCACATTAAAGTTAACAATAGATTAACAAAGAGACTCAAAATATATCAAGATAGCTATTACATGGTAAAGTTTAACACCTGCAGAATAAAATTATATCATAGGACACCTTGGTATTTTTGTCACTAGAATCCCATTGTTAGCATTTATACAATGACATTAAACCTTATATCCTGATTACCAAATTATTATGTTCACATAACAAGATAGCCAAACAAATGATTTAAGGTGATGACCCACTTCATACAATATGCTATTGCAATGCCTGGATTCTCAATGTTGAACTATGATTTACCAAACTGTAGTTAAGCCTACTATAAGTTCCACTAAATTACGGTATGTTCTCTACCATCATAGGAACAACACTTACAATTTTTTTCTTACATTAGCTTTATTTAAAACACAAATTATTTTATTGAACTGTTTAAACATCGGATTCAGATACAATGATTTAAATAGAAATATGTACAGAAAAAAATAAGAGTATGTAAAACCTCAATGGAATTCTTTTATGCAGAAGAGAGAAAAGGGAAGAAAACTGACCTCAAGCAGAAGATTCTGCTTAAGCAAACTAGAACACCTGCAACAACATGGAGAATTCTTTCACAGTTCTTTCAGTCTCAGACACCTGCTAGTTTCCCTTTACAATCAGCTAAAAATTTGATTGCCCTTCAGTTTGCTGAAGAATTATTTCCAACTTCTTGGGAGCAATGTGAAGACAAACTCTTCATTCAGGATGGTCTTTTAAAAATATTTCAGTATTTTTGCGTCTTTTTTTCCCTAGAGGCAATACTTCAAACTGAATTGGTGAAGCACAGCTTTTCCCTCCCACCTTGCTTATAAAGCTTAATATATTTACATTAGAATCAAGCAACTCCCCCCCCCCCCCCCCCCGCTAGGAATATACACAAAAATGACATCCTGCATTATTTCTTAACCATAAATTGTAACTGGCAGGATTGGGATAATTAAACTAATTAAAAACAATAGTATAAGAATGGAAAAAATATCATACAAAATACAAGAATTGCAGGATACACAAAATTCCTAAATCTTCATTTGGCCATAGCTGAGTCCATGAGAAAATTCAGAATATACAACATAGATATGTGAATGAAAATAATGTTAGGGAAAAAAATCCGTTAAGGAACCAGAGGTTCTGGCAGAGATGTCTGCCAGAACACCTTTCAGATGTCAGAGGGCAACAGTCCCAAAGTTCGCTTAAAATGACAGCAGTACAGGCCATCATACTCTCCGTTCAGGGTTAAAAAAAACCTTTAAATAAACTTTGCACATCTTTTTAGGGCAAGTTTTTAATTATCTCTCAAATGAATAAGTTAGAAAAGGGGTGTAACTTTCCCCATGAATTTCTATATGCTAGGTTAAACCAGTCAAAATGGCACAAGATGAGTGGGATGAAAATAAAATGTGCTATTCCATCTTCTATATAAATGTTGCTTCATTTTCAACAGTATAAGGATAGAAGTTCCACATGTAGTATGCTTGGTCCAAGTTTATTCTCCTTTTCTCTGCATTATAAATAGTTCTGCCATTTTTAGAATTTTTTTAAAATTTACATAACCCAAGAAGTGACTCAAAACTGCAAATAACCCCCAAAAGCAAAGGGAAGCTCTGAAATACACAGAAATTATGAGCCACACAACTGAAAAACAGGTATGACAGTTCAGTAGAAAATATATTGATGAAAAAGAGTTGCTATGTAGTATTATGGGCAGGTCTTGGATCTTCTGTAGATGAAATGTTCATGGTTTCATTCTTAAAATATTTAAAATGGGCAATAGTTGGGACATATCTCTGACCAGCAGGGTAATTCAAGATAAATGCAGTCAAGTTCTTCAAGCAGTTTCAAGTGAGCTTTAAGACTTGTCATAACTCTTCTACTAGAAAGGGTAATCCAACAAAACATATAGCTTTTATTTTCTGTCAAAATGAAGCCGTGTAGCAAATCAACTGTCAATCATCTCAGAGAGTTCAAGCAGGAGCTCATCCTCATCTTTTCCAGGATCTAAATCAATCTCTGCTTCCAATTTGCCTCCTGAGATTTCCCAAATCAGCTTATCAAAGTCATCTTCAACTGAAGATTGAATCTTCCCACTTCCTGTTGAGCTCAGTCTGCGGGTCTTTGCTACTGCTGCACGGGAAGAACTTGGGTTTGCTACCTCTGCTTGCAACGTGGAGGCTACCTGGTTTTCCAGGTACAGTTCAGAGCTTCATAAAGAAAAGGGGGGGGTACAAAACAATTATAAATCTTCAGTAGAAAACAGACATCCTGTGTAAACCTTTGCAGGATTTTCAGTTCAAGTAAAATGGTGTGGGGCTGAACCATGGACGTAAGCTAACTATAGACAGCATAGAGGTAGGTAAAGAACAAATTATGTTGTGGTAGTACCTAGGCCATATAAAGAGGACATGTAGTAAGGGATTGGACTTAATCTGTATTGACCCAGAGCCAAAGTGTTAAATCTACAAGGAGGTAATTCAGGGTAGAAATCAGGAAGAACTTTCTGGCACATTAGCTGTCAGCCGATACAACATGCTATCCTATAAGATAGTGAATTCTGTTTTGATGGATATCTTCAAATAGAAGCTAGATCAGGGGTGACAAACTGGTGACCCGCAGGCCAGATGCATTACATGCAAGCCACGCCCACCCCAGCTCTGTGAAGGGGGAATAAGTCACAAAATGTCATGTGATGGCAATGTGACACCATGAGTGTGACACCCGTGGGCTAGATGGTACCTGTCAGAAATACTCTACCAAATTCTGCACTGAAGAGGTTTGGACTATATGATTTCTAATGTATCTTCTAACACTACAAATCTACAAAAGTGCCATTAGATATTACTACAATGTTGGCAGTAAACAGTTTGTATGGATATTTTCCACCACATAACCTACTGCTTGCTTTTAAATGTTCATATTAATTTAAGTTCAGCAGTATATAATACACAGAAAAGATTAGACTGCTATGGACATCAGATATAATAATAACAGCATAACATCTTATAGTACTTCGAAAGTCTAATGTAATTACTTTAAGATTTCTTTAGTAAGTCTCTACTTCAGATACAGAAGACTAAACTGCAAAAACAGATACTAAATGAAACAATTAGGATAGCACAGGATGTTTGTTACTGTACAACTACCAAAATATTACCAATGTTTTAAATCAGAGATAACCTACAAATTAATTTAAAAACATACATCACAAGAACAGAACAGAAATCACAAGGAGAAAATCTTATTAGCTAACTACTTATATTTGATTTTAAAAATGTTTGTAACATATTGAAGATATTTTTTGACAAATACTTTGAGTTAGCAACCAGATACTAAAAAATTTCAGACTGAGAATATTTAAGGTTCTTACACATTTTTTCCTCAATCTGCTTTCATTGGCTATTACCCAGATACCTACTCATAAATGTGAAGGGAAAGAACATACGGTAAATATCATATGATCCAATTTATGCCAAGTAAACACTCCACTTTGTCCTGCTGTTCTATGAGAAAAATCCAATTATGTGCAAAATGGCTATAAAGAAATAACAATTACCTGTTATAATCCACTCTCTTAGGTATACTGTCCTTTGAAACATCTGGGGTGCTTCCCTAAGGAAAAATAATAAAAAAATAAATAAACTCACTAGTGTGAGGTTCACTATCACCACAGTTATTTTACTCCTGGACTTCTATTCCATTCTTCTTTTTTATGCAAAATAATACATATTCTATCAATATAAATGGAGAACTCTCTGAAGAGGTTTAGATCTAAAAGTGCTCTCTCCCATTTCATAAAATTGCTACTCCTATAAGATAGAAAAGTATATATAAAACAATTTAATGCCCTCATCACCTCAGAATTTTAATAGCACAATCTAATAGCTTGAATCTGTTTTCTTACCAGAGCTGTGTTTTCAGAAGCAAACATTTTCATTTCTGTGCTTGCAATAGGATTCAGGGGCTTTACTGCAGCAACAGTGGGATGACTCTCTGATATTTTTCGCTTCTGTGTCTGTTTTGCTGGGGAAATGGGTTTCACTCCAGATGGTTTCACATTCATCTTGGGTTTGACTGAAATATAAAAGCAATCCAGTGAGAATGGAGTTGTAACTTCTCTGCTAATGTTGTACAAGATGCTTGGAAAAACACTTCTTAGAAGAGACCTATTTTAATCCAAGTTTTAATGTATGGAAATATTTAAAATTATATTTCTAGAATGATGACAAAATACAATCTAAGCATTCTTCCCACACTTCAGTGCTTCCCACACAAGAGAACCTAGGACTAGAAATGTCTCATCATACAGGCAGAGCTTCTCAATGGGAAGAAATAATAGTTGAAAAATGAAGTCAGCTTTCTGCATGCTGAAAATGGGAAATTTACATAATAATGACTTCTGAGAACTAAAGATTTTGCTCTTATCTGTTAATAATATAGATGCTTGAACCTTGATCCCACCAATATGGACTTGTATACACTTGTATAGAGTTGAACTGTGGGGAAGATTGATACCATCCAATGTATACCGCATTTTTCGGAGTACAAGACGCACCTTTTTCCCTCAAAAAAGAGGCTGAAAATCTAGGTGTGTCTTATACTCTGAATACAGCATTTTTTGGCCCCCGAAACTCCGCCCCTTCACCAAAATGGCCATGCATAGCTTTTAGAAGGCTTTCAGAAAGCTCCCGGGGGCTCAGAAGGGCAGAAATGAGCGAAAAACAGCCCGTTTTTGCCCCCCCCCCAGCAGCACTCTATAAGCTTCCTAAAGGCTATCCATGCCCTTATTTTTTGACAAAAAATGGGCCAGTTTTCATGAAAAATGGGCCATTTTTTCTCATTTTTACCCCCCCCCCTCAGGAGCACTCTACAAGCCTCCTAACGGCTATTCATGCCCTTTTTTGGGCGGGGGGAAATGGGCCCGTTTTTGCGAAAAACTGGTTGNTCTTTTTTGTATTCCAGGTTTTTAAAAAAAGTAAAATTCTTAAATGAAACAAAATAGAAAAAAGGAAAAAAACTCTTATAGAAATGAAAAAAAGAATTTTAATCCATAGGTTACAAAAATAAAAAAGTGGAAGAAAAACTAATCCGTTCACTTTAAAAAGCTTTGCACAAATTCTATCCATAAAATAGCATTAAAAAAGAAAGATAACACACTGTCCAATGAAATCCAATCTAGCTTAATTTCGCCGCTTATTTCTTCTGTTCTCAAATTTAATTTAGCTTTAAGTTTTTTTTTCCGGGCAGTCTATTTTAAAACAGTAAAGTTTCCTCACCAGCTGTACACATTTTCTCTTTCTGTTTCCTTCTGTTCTGGAACTGTCACAACTTCATCAGCTTGTGGCTACGCTTTTGTTGCTGGCTAGAAGAACTTCTCTTGGATCAATCAGAGACTTTGCCGGGTCCCTGAGATCAGCAAGATGTATTCTTCCTGATCACCATCTCTGCGGGACGGTTTAGGTCCATATGGACCGTCCAGAGGCAAAAGTATTGACTGCGATCTTGGAACTTCGAGATTGCAGGTTGCATCGTTGCAACATCGGCTCTTCCCTCTTCCATTCAATATGGTTGATACAGTTGATTCAATATAATTTCTATATATGACTATATATAGAATATACTGGCAAAACTTTTCTTAATTTAAAGTCCTAAAAGTCCTAAAATTATGAAGAAAATAACACAAGCAGCAAAAAAAAGAAGATGAGCTATTGTAGAAAGAAATGGCCACATAACAAAATGTGAGGACCAATGAAGAACGTTAAACCAGAAACGTAATTTGTGTGCCCAGGGGAATTTCATGGCTGTCTAGCAACCATAAAACATTCACACCTGCTAGCAGCTAAAGAGGCAAAAGGGGCTGAGAGAAAGGGACAGCGCAATAAGGCACTAGAAGTTAGTGACAAACAAAAAATGATGGAGTTGCAGAAAGTTCATATGAGGCAAAGACTAAATGTTTATTCAGAACTGTTTAATAAACAATTGATAAATGATCCAACTTCTTATTGAAGGATCTGTCTGATGATCTGCTGAGGGACATCACTGTGGCTTACAACTAAATAGTAAAAGCATTATTTTATCAGCCTTGTGCAAAACTTCAAAAGATGCTTGGCTTTGGCAATGCTTTAAGCAAAGATTCCTTCAAAGCTATTTCAAAAGCAATGTGACCCCCTTGTTTTAATAGTAAAACAAACTGTCAATTCAATTGGTTGTAATTGAAATCTGTTAGTTGGAAAGAAACTTATATTGTCTCCAGTGGTGGGTTCCGGATTCTGTTCCAACTGGTAAGGTTGTAACAGCCCTGCCATCACCCACATGGACACGCGCGGTGTGCGCATGCATTGTACTTGCCTGCGACGATTCCGCAAGCCTCCATGATGCTCCAGCTACTCGACGGAGCATCGCACAGGCACCGTATATGCCATGTGTGTGCGCGGAAGCGCCAAAGGCTTAAAGGACAGGTAAGGAGCTTGGGAGGGCGGGTGCTCTGGAGCACCATACCGGAACGGTACGCAGTGCTCCAGGCAGGAGCTGGTACACCCATACCGGGGCGTACCGCCTGTAACCCACCACTGATTGTCTCTTATAGGTAGATGCAACTGGCAGATTTTGAGGTCATTGAAAAGATCTTGTTGAGGAGTAATATTCTGCATTATAGTGTAGGTGGGCAGCAACACTGGCTGACAGCAGAGGTATCCAAAAAAGTCATGATGGCTGATATAACCATGCAATCAAAGTCCTGCCCTCACTTTGACCACATGGTTGTGGCAGCCATCTTGATGTTTTGACCCTACACATGACATTTCAGGGCAGCAACTGGCAGAAGCTGTACTTTCGTGCCTTCACTCACCCAGCATCATCTTCCAGTGGGAAAGCAAACTACCAATCTCTCCCTTAAACCTGGGACTGTGTAGGGATGCAAAGGAACAGGTCTTTTAATATGTTAATTGATCTTTCAACTGGGAGAACAAAATCTGCTTGATGCTTCCATAACTAATCAGCATGAGGCAAGTACATTTATAGATAATCCAATCCAACTGACAGAACTGTTAAACAAATCATAATTGCCAGCACATTAAACAAAAGTGCAGGAACAAACTCAAGCACTTAAAAAGCCCTTCATAACAGAATGCTAAAAGGGATGTGGTGGCTCAGTGGCTAAGATGTTGAGCTTGTCAATCAGAAAGGTTGGCAGTTCAGCGGTTCAAATCCCTAGCACCATATAACAGAGTGAGCTCCCATTACTTGTCCCAGCTTCTGCCAACCTAGCAGTTCGAAAGCATGTAAAATGCAAGTAGAAAACTAGGAACCACATTTGGTGGGAAACATTCCATGCACCTTCGGTGTTTAGTCATGACCACAGAGACATCTTAGCCCAGCATTGGCTCTTTGGCTTTGAAACACACACGAGTACCGCCCCCTAGAGTTGGGAACGACTAGCACGTAAGTGCGAGGGCAACCTTTACCTTTAACAGAATGTTACCATTACAACAAATGTTTTATTTCATTCATAGCCAAT